ACTAGCTACATGACCCTGGTTACTCTGGCTTCCTCAGTTGCCTCATCTGTAAAATGAGGATAATAATAGTTCTTACCTCCTCGGGTTGTTGAGGATAAAATGAGATAACATTTGTAAAGTGTTTTGCAAGCCTTAAAGTACTATATAAATGCTAGTTGTTGTTATGGCTTGATATGAGAGATGGGGGTAATGAGAACGATCAATGATAACCCTAAAGCTAGGACAAAGGAAACGGGAATGTGGTGTCACATACGGCGATAGAGAAGTTGGAAAGAGAAGCTCAGTTTTGGACGTTTGAGTTTGGGGCGGACAATGGAAGATCCAAGCTGGAGATGTTCATATCAGTACAGGGACTAGAGGGCCAAAGAGAGGTAAGATGGTTCAAGGGGTATGATAGTGGACATGAGACTGAAGTTCCTAGAAGGAGGTAGAGAGGAGAAGAAGACCCAAGACCAAAGAGTTAGTAAAGTTGGAAGAGCAAGTGGGAAATGAGTAGAGGAGGGCACTGAGGGTCGGAGTGAGGGTGAGTGCCGGACATGGGTTACATTGACCACCCAAAATGAAAGGTTGCTCAAAGGCCACTGAGGTGGGGGGAAGGGGGGAGAGGGGGTGTAGAACAATAGAAATGTTGATGAGGAACAAGGAGTATATGCCCATCTCTAACCCTGGTCCAGAGAGTTGGGATAATAGAAGGATTGACCCCAAGCAGAGAGGTTTGCAAGAAGGTGATTTCCTCAAAGGAGAGACAAGAAGTGAAAGGAATATTAGTTGAAAAACTCAAGGACATAGATGATTTCAGTGATAAGAAAGCAGGGATCTCAGAAAGCACAGGGAATTGATTAGGTGTAGCATGATACAGGGGAAAGAGTATTGACTCTGAAGTCAAAAGATCTGGCTTTGAATCTTCCTATCATTTGCTATCCATATGAACTTGGGCAATTCACCTAACCCCTCTGGACCTTAGTTTCCCCATCTGTAAAATGAGGGGTTGAGCCAGATAGCTTCTAAGATCTCTTAGAAGCTGTCTTAGATCTCTTCCAGATAATCTCTATGGTCCCTACTATAAACTTTATCTTTTAACCTTACATACCCAAAATTGAGCTATAGGTAAAGGATTCCTTGAGCAGTATCATAGCAATGCAGATTCTGAGTTGGGCTGGTCCTTAGAGATCACCTGGGAAATCTCTTCATTTTGTTGTTGAGTTATTTTTCAATTGTGTCCAACTCTTTGTGATCCCATTTAGGGTTTTCTAGTTAAGATACTAGAGTAGTTTGCCATTTCCTTCTCCAGCCCATTTTATAGATGAGGAAACAGAAGCAAATAGGGTTAAGGGACTTAACACAGTAGTAAGTGCCTGAGGCTGAATTTGAACCCAGGAAGAGGAGTCTTCCTGACTCCAGGCCCTTTATCCACTCTATCTACTGTGCCACCTAGCTTCGCCATATGTTCATATACATGGACATATTAACATGCATATATATATATATATATATATGTATGTGTAGACATATACATAAATATATGTATATCGATATAGATATAGATTGTTTTAAAGACAGGACTTCCCCATCTAGCCCGGGCTGGACATGTAGGGATTATTCTTGGGCTTGGTCCCATTAATGATTGACATAGGAACTTCAAACTGTTTTGTTTCTGACCTGGGTGAGTTCTTCCCCCTTTAGACAACCTGGTTGCCTCCAGCTCCTGGTGGCCACAGCTCAGAACTTTGGAGTTAATGAGATCCGACAGTCACAGCCTCTTTAGCTGCTAAGATTGCAGGCATGCACCTACATGCTTGACTAAATTCTATATTTTTGAGGGCAAGAGACCTTGACTTATATTTCTTCCTATGCTGCCTATCCAGTCCAATCGAACAAGCATTTCCTAGTCATCTCCTTGCAAAAGTAAGTGAGTAGCATTAGAGTGTTACAAAGCAGCAAGCCCCATTGAGGGAACTAACAGAGAGCCAGCCTAGGAGTCAGGAAGACCTCCCCTCAGGTCCTGTCGCTTGCACTTGGTGGCTGTGTGACTTTGGGCAAGTCATTTAACTCTTATGTCACTACTATTTAGTAAGCAGTGTCAGGGACACTGGGGATAGAAAGAAAAACAGAATCAGTCCCTGTTCTCAAGGAGCTCACAGTCTAATGGGGGAGGCAACATGCAAACAAGTATGTACAAACAAGATATCAACAGATTGAACTGGAATCGTCTCAGAAGAAAGTGGCTAAGGTTAAGGAGGACTGACTAGGAAAGGCTTCTTGCAGATAGTGAGATTTTAGCTGAGATCTGAAGGAAGCCAGAGAAGCCCGGAGGCAGAAGGGAAAGGTATGTGGAAGAGTCAATGAAAATGCCCAGGGTCTAGAAATGGATTAAGGAGGTCAGTGTCATCAGATCAGAGAAGAGGTGGAGGGGGATGAGGTGTAGAGTGGGTAGAGTGCTGGGCGTGGAGTTTGTGAGTTCAAATCTGGCCTCAGAAACTAGCTGTGTGACCCTGAACAAGTCACTTAACCCCGTTTGCCTCAGGTTCCTCATCTGTCAGATGAGCTGGAGAAGAAAATGGCAAGCCATTTCAGTATCTTTGCCAAGAAAACCCCAAATGGAGTCACGAAGGGTTGGACACAGCTGAAAAAAATGACTAAATAACAACCTCTCCTTGATATTCTCTTCTCTCTAGGTTTTTGGGACATCATTCTCTGCTGGTTCTTCTTCTACCTATCACACTGCTCCTTCTCAGTCTACTTTCCTGAATCCTCTCCCAGGTCATGTCCATTAACCTGAGGTGTCCCACAGGGCTGTTTCCTGAGTCCTCTTCTCTTCTCCCTTTGTATTATCTCATTGTGTCACCCAGCTGCCCACCAAAGAGAAGGGCATGATCAGTAGTGTCAAAGGCTGCAGAGAAGTCAAGGCTGAGGATTCAGAAAACGCCATTAGTTTTGGCAAGTACAAGATAATTAGTAAATTTGGAGAATGCACTTTTGGTTGAATGATGAAGTGAGAAGCCAAATTGCAAATAGTTAAGCGAATGAGAGGAAAGTAATTGGAGGCATCAGTTGTAGTTAGCTTTCTCAAGGAGTTTAGCCACAAAAAAAGAGGAGAGATATAGGTGGATAGCTAGTAGGGATGGATAGATCGGGTGAGGGATTTTTGAACATAGGGAATACATGGTTATGTTTGTAGATAGCAGGAAAACAGCCAGTAGAGAGGAAGCAATTGAAGATTAGTGAGACAGTAGAGGTAAGAGAGGGGCCAGTCTGCAGAAGATGGAAATGTATTGGGATCCCTTGAGCATATGGAAAGGTTTGCCTTGAAGAAGACAAAGACCACTTCCAGGGAGTCATCTCAGACCAGCTATTGTTAAACTTTCAATGTAAGCATTTATACCTTGGAAACTAGCAACCATTACAAATCAGAGCTTGGTCGATTGTTTCGTTGATTGTCTAGACTTAAGAAAGTGATGAAGAAAAATGTTAATAACACAGATTAAACTTAAAAGTGTGTCATGTATACATTTTCTTTTCCAAAAAGCTGTTTGTTAAACACTTACCCACACACCAGCAAGCCACTTCTTTGTGTGAGACAGGAGTAAAGAAGGGGATCCTGGCAGAAAGCATTTGAGTGATGACAGAGAAAGAAGGCAGTCTCTGCAAATGGCCCCAGTAATTTCAGTGAAATATGAGGCAAGGTTGTCAGCTCAGAAGGCAAGTGAGAGGGGAGCTGTGGGAGGTGCCGTGGGAAGTGGGATAGTGAATGGATCAGAGAGATGTAAAAGGATTGCCTTGCCTCAGGAAGGGCCCAGTTGAGACTGTCTAACACAAACTTGTAGTGGTCCCAATCAACACAGTTTTGTACCTCAGTTTCCTTACTGGTAAAATAGAAATTGGACTTGGCCTCTAAAGTCCCTTTCAGCTTTGAAATTATCAGTTACCACTCTATGTTGGTAGAGGGATTTCCTCATCATGAGTTCCTCATACCAATGAAATCACAGCTCCAAACCAAATACATACATACATACAGTAGTCAGGGATCGAGGCTGTATCTGTCTCAGGCTGTGAGATGTCTTGTAGATGTGGAAATGTATCTCAATGCCCTTTTCCTTAAAGAACTATTTCCCCAAACCAGGAACCATGTTCCTGGTTGAAGCCTTGGACTGGCCACTCACAACTCAGTCACTGTGAGTAAACTCCTCCCTCCCCCTCCTCGTCCTTTTGACATAATTACATTTCACTCAGGATTTTAAATGCTTATGTCTAGCAGTCCTCATCTATACCCAGAGAAATGGGACCATTCTTTTCTTCATTTATTTTTCCAGCTCACCAGCCCTTCTATGACAAATCAAACTATATCAAACAAGAATTAAGAAGATTATAGGGTTTTGGAAACAAACAAAACACTATTTTAAGGGAAGGAGGAGATGAGCGTGTATTTTTTTTTTTTTGTTACCGCTGATTTTTTTTTATAATGCTCTCCAGAAAGCAAGGAATAGCCCAAACACAAGATGGCAGGACACATAGAGGCATTGAAGATGGATTTGGGAATAGTTGGAGTCAAATTTGGGTCATACCTCACTGGGATAGCAGAGATAGGCAGAGGTGTACATAGAAGGTACCCAGCCTAGACTTCCGAGATCAAGGCTGATGTCAAGGTTACTGAATTTAATAGGTATAAATTAAAACGGAGAGCATCAGGCTTAAAGTGTTTCATTGTTGTTTTCTTGAAACACACTCCCCACCTTTGGCATACTTGACAGAAGCATGCTGAGATTGCGTATGTGTTGTAATTTGACAGATTGTCTGGGTACTACTAGGCAATGTTTTCTTGTTTCTGGGAGACTGGGCCATTGTGAAATGGTTTTCACCTGCAGTAAAACCAGCCTGAGCCAGCCTGGCTGGGTATCTGCTGCCCATGCTCCTCTCAAACATGACTCTTGCTGATGAAACCAGATGAGAGCATTTTCTCCACTTACTACAGGCCTGTTTATAGTGACTTTGTTTTTATTGCCAGCCACACAGGGCCTTCAAATAGGAAGAGCGAAGTTATGTTTAAAGGAAAACAGGTGAGCAAGCAAAAGATTTCTGTCTTGTATTGTATTCCCCATGTATGTGAGCCATCCGAGAGACAGAGAGAGAGAGAGAGAGAGAGAGAGAGAGAGAGAAGAGAGAATGCAAAAGAGAGAAGATAGAATGTAAGAGAGAGAATGTGAGAAAGCAAGAGAGAGAGAAGAGAGAGAATATAACAGTGAGAGAAAGGAGAGAGAATGTGAGAGAGAATGCAAGAGAGAAAAAAAGAGAAAGAGAAAAGAGTGAATGTAGCAGAAAAGAGAGATCGAATGTAAGACAGAAGAGAGAATGTGACAGAGAAAGGAGAGAGAGAATGTAACAGGAAGAAAGAGAGAGGAGAACGAGAAGGGGAGAGAGAGAGAGAGAAAGAACAAGCATATGGGCATCTAGTTCTAAAAGCAAAAAGTAGTGCACACATTATCTCTCAGAAGCTTGTTGCCAGACAGACTGATTATCTCTCAGTTTCTTATCTGTTTATTGTAAAGAAAGTAAATCAAACTGTGCTCTAGATCGTCAGGCTAGGGTATTTACTGTCAACATGAGAGGGAACAGAGGAGATATGAGCCCAGAAAGGCAAGGGGGTGCTCCTGGTCTCAGTAAAACTGAATACAAAGGAAATTGGGAAGAGATTAACTCGGGAGAGGTTTTGGAAGGATGGCTGGCTAGATCGCATTTCTGTCTTCCAAAAAAATTTCAAATATCTGAGTGGGAAATATGTTTTAGAAGACTAAAAATTCTTCAGGGATAGTCTAGAAAATCGTATTAGACTTACGCGAATGACAAATCGTTTCTTTCTTTCCTCCCCGCCCCCAAAGTATTTTTTTTTTTAATGACAGATGTGTTCTTATGACTTGCAAAAGACGATTTGAGCCAAGAGCTGAGGAGGACAGATCCACGTGTTGTTGGGACGGCCCTTTTGTTTAACTCCCAGAGAAACTGGGAGGGGCAACATGTGGATAGTGGACAACAGCCTCAAGACAAACAGCACACCAGCATTTTTCTGTGCAGTTAGAATCAGCCCAAGAACCTAAAGCACAATCTGGAACAAAAAAAAGAGAAACCATGGAATCATTAACAGAAGAAGCTATGAAGAGTTATCTTATGAATAAGGTAAGAATGAATGTTTCTGTCCCCCTATCCCTCTGTTTTCTTGCCATTCACTCAGCATCTCTGTGTAGATACTGTGGAATTTGAGGAGAAAATTCTTATGGAGCCCCTTTAGGCTTAAAGGTAATCAACAAGCATTTACAATGTGCCTGGCACTGTGCTAAGTACTGAGGATACAAAGAAAGGGAAAAAAAATCATGGTCCCTGCCCTCATGAAACTCACATTCTATCAAGGAAGATAATATGCAACAAAAAATTGTACTAAGATATTATATACACAGACACACATAGGCACATATATGTATGTACATGTGTATGTATGTCTGCATGCATTGCAAATGGAAATAACCTAGAGTCGTCCCATTACGTCTCCCTTCTTAGGGTTCCTTTACCACTTTTTAGTTTCTTTCTTAGGATTTCTTTGCTGATGGTTCTGTCTCTTTCATGTTTTCCTATTTCACCACATCCCCTTGGAGTCATTCAAAAACTGCTTTGTAATTGTTGTTCTAGCATTTCTCTATTCAGTTTTCTCTCCCTGACTGGACTGGTGAGCTTCCCCGGAGGCTGAGACAACTTCTTTTGTTCTTTGTATGTCTTACAGAGTGCCTAATACAGTGTGTCCTGTACAAGGACGGCTTCATTTGGCCATGTTTACTAAATGCCCAGTAAAAGGAGCCCAGAGCTTAATGAAAGAGATCTCAGAGCTTAGCAGTGACTAAGAATTGTGGTGCTCCCAGTTACTACTAGAAATGAACCCAGGGCAGGTGCTCAATTTTCCCTCAGTTGGGGGCGGGGGAGCAGGTGAGAGGGAGGGAAGACGGATGGGAGGACACTTATGACCTTCCAGTAGGGGAATTCAGACAGAATGGAACTGCCCACCTTTATAAAGAAAGAAGGTGCTCACACCTGGTCCAGGCATTCGGTAACTTGCTTTTGTATTTAACTAATTATCTCTGTTAACTGGGTGATGAGCTCTTTTGGTTTCTAGCTGGCCAGGAAAGGTATGTCAGTGGCTGCCAGTAAATTCAGTACCCTCAGGCAAAGAGCTAACTGTCATCACCAGTTTGAGTTCTACTAAGGTAATACAAATCCCTTATTCAACAGATAATGAAACTGAGTCCCAGAGAGAAGTTCAGAAAAAAAGGAAACAAGGTCTGATAAAAACAATAAGCACCTTGAGTGGTTTCAGGACTTTTCAAGGACTTTCATTAAACTTTCTGGGGAAAAAGTCACTCTCATTAATTAATTAATAAGTATTATTTTTATATTTTGCCACCTGAGAGTTCTTAGGCAGAGTAAGAAGAAAAATGAGGTAGGTAGTTGCTCACTGTAGGTATCATGAGAATTGTACCTTTTTAACTCTCTTCGTGACTTAAGGCCCTGCTATTAAGGGTAATAATACTCAGTTAATGTTCATTGAAGATTTGTCTTTAGAGGTACAGAGCTCACTGCAGCTATTTTGTAGATGTTCTTAAAACTTTGTACCTTTACCTCCTGCCAAGAAAACGGAATCTATCAAGTAGCCAGTCCTTTTACACCTACATTTTAGAGGGGAATACATACATCTGAGTTTTCTTTGTTCAATATTCAAACTTGAATTATTTGTAAAATTCTAGGTAAGCAAAATTCTTTCTATTATTCTTCCTATCATTGTTTTAAGTAGCTCAGCAGGGAGCGTCTGTAATGAATTTAGAAGCATTAATCCTCGGAAAGATCAGACTAAAATCCAAACTCCATTGAAGGCTCTCCATTGTATGGAGTCATTTGACCTTCCCAATCTCTCGAAAGGAACATTGATTTTATAACCAGAAGAACTGCTTCAACTCAACAGATTTGCCTGCTGTCATTCATTCATTCATTCATTCATTCATTTATGTCTATGAATGTGGTAAACAATTATTGAGTCTCTGTCCTTCCTCTTATTTTTTCTTTTGTCTCATACCTCCTACTTAGAACATCCGCCATTATATTTCTCTAAACTATATTCCTATACTCCTTCAGAACTATGCTTAAGATTCATTTCCTCCATGAAGACTTCCAAAGTCAGAATGATTGGCCATCAGCTACTCTAAATACTTCTATGCCTTACTTGCACAGATTTTCCATAATCCTCTATGAATGTGCCCATCTCCACTTTATTCATGTCCATCTAGAAAGTGTTATTTAATAAATATTGGGGTTTACAGCTCTTTATCAGGCCTTTGGGGAATGCTTATTTAAAAAGACATGGTTCCTATCTTCTAGGAATTTACAGTTTAATCTTTATCTGTCCCTAGCTATGAAGCTATCTTGTCTTCTCCTTTAGAGTATAACATTCCTGGAGAACAAGAATTACGTCTAACATGTTATTTTTAGCTCTTTTCAGGACTTAGGATGATGCTAGCAAGGGAAAATAATACTCAGCACATACTAATTGAATATTTATCTTTTGAGATAAAGAGGAGATGGAGAAGAGGGCAGGTAAAGATGGAGATCTGGATAACATCACAGGACAATACCATGTCTCATTAGAGAGAGGTGGAGCCCACAAAAATTTTGGGCCCCAGGCAATTCTTTCTATAAAGTTGCCTTTATTATTTTGACGTGATCTCTGATAAATTTCAATAAAAATACTCATCTAAAATAATGACCTCTTTGGGTCCCGGTTTCCTCATCTGGAAAAAAAAAAAAGAGAGAAGGAATTAAACTAGATGACCTCTAGGCCCTATTTAGCATTAACATGTTCTGTGATAACTGAAAGACAGCAAAGTGAAGTTTATAGAGCACTGGATTTGGAATCAGAAAAACCTGGGTTTGAATTCCACTTCAGACACGTAACGGACATGTAACCACGGACAATTCACTTAACCCTCTAAGTCACATTCCCTCATCTGCTAAATGGGGATAATAATAGCACCTATTGTTATGAGGGTCAAATGAGATCATTTATATATGGTGCTTTTGCAAACCTTGAAGTGCTATTTAAATATCATCATCCTTCTCATTATTGTTGTTGTTTTGGTAAAAATGCTCTACATGAATGTGTTATTACACATTTGTGATTCTCTTAGATCTATCATTAGTCCATATGTGTAGACCCTCCGCATAGACAGTTCTTTTACCATATATTTTTGGTATGGTGTGAAGGTGCCTTGGGATTCTATGCCAGTGGATCCCAAAGCCTGGCAGTTCCTACCAACCTGGAAAAGTTTTGATTTAGGGTTAGTGATTATAGCTTATGTGTCATTTGTCTAAGGAGCAAACAAACTGAGTTTGCAATCTTGGCAACACTCAGAATAGTTGAAATCTGTATCATTGAAAAGAATGCCTTACTAATAAAATTATAGATACTCCAAGAATATGATGATGATAATGAGGGAGACAGAGAGGTGGAGTTGAGCTTAATGCTTTAAGATTTGAAATTCACAGGGGCAGCTAGGTGGCGCAGTGACTAGAGCCCCTGCCTCGGAGTCAGGAGAACCTGAGTTCAAGCGTGATCTCAGACACTTGACATTTATTTACTAGCTGTGTGACCCTGGGCAAGTCAACCCCGATTGCCTCACCAAAAAGCAAAAAATAAATAAAAGATTTGAAATTCAAGTTTTGAAAACATTTCACACACCTCATTTGATCCTCACTACAACCCTGTGAAGTAGGTACCACAGGTAATATTTAATATTAACATTTTAAGATGAAAAAAACTGAGGCCCCAGAGAGGCTGTGAAAGACCTATGATCACATAGCTAGCAAAAATCAGGGGTAGGATTTGAACCTACGTCTCTTCTGGCTAGGGACAGATTAAGATCCTTATATAGGCTTAGGCCATTCTGTTTCACAGATCCTTTGGTTAATATACTTTTGTAAGTGGATCTAATAATATAATATTTTTAAAATCTTATAATTAAAAATATTTTCAATTAAATTTTAATTTTAAATTTGATTTTGAATTTAAAATTAAAATTTGATTTGAAATTTTAAATTTAATTGAATTATAAATCTTTTTAAATTAAAAATCTTAAAATCTTGTAATATATAAAATATAATATAAATTGTTGTATAAGATCTTTAAAAGCTTGTCTTTGTTATGGTTTTATTATATAAATATTTACATATAAAGTATTGAAATGTCAAATAGTTTCTTCATAATCCTTTGTAGTTGTGCTCCCTGTAGCTACAAAATATTTGGACCTTTCTCCTACCTCTTTCTATAATGCCCACTGCCTCTCTAAAGAAGTATTTTTAGTTAATTTTTTTTTTGGTCCTCTCTGCAGAATCCATGCAACTTGTTAAAGAGAAGCAAGTCTTCCTTTATTAATTAACTTAGTGAACACAGAATGGAAGAAATCATCTCCCAGAGGTCTTCTGGTTTAGACAGAGCCCCAAAGTCCAAGTGGGATTTGAAATGGTTTCATTGTAGCTTTCTTATCTGATCAGACAGAGTTGGGTTTTTTGGGTTGTTTTTTTTAAATGCCTTATTATAGGATAGATCTGCTGATGTGGCTTGAGGGAAGAGAACACATGATTTCTTTCTGTGTTTTGCAAGGCAAAGCTGAGGTTGTGGGGGCCAGCTTGGTGGCAGGTTTCTACTTGTGGAAGTTCCTCCCTGTTTGGACAAAGCTCTACATGATCTGACTCCCTCAGAACAAATCTTCCCCCATGAGTAACTATGGAGTAGGTTACCCCAATCCCTCCCCACACCTGGCTTTACTTCTGTCTGTCTCCTTCAACCCTGAAGTGGAGATTATTTTAACACACCCCTAATTTGACCTAAACAGGAATATAGACTCACAGAATATGTGTGCTTCAAGGGACCACCACCTCGAGTCTAAACCCCCTCGAAATGAGGAGGGCTGGACGAGATGGGTAAAATGCAAGACCAGACCTGTAAAATACAGGTGAAGAAATATAGCGAATACAGTCATAGATTTGGAGTTGGTTGGGAACTGAGGTCCAAGAGAGCTCAAAAGAGCCTACATTTAGACCTGAAAGGGAAATTACGTATACATACATACATACATACATAC